ATAACTGATATAAATCCTAGAATTTTAGGTATTTGAACTTAGGGACAAAGAATAGACACTATTGAGCAAAAAAGAACAAGGCAGCTGAAAGAATGAAGAAAATAAGGCCTGAGGATCGCCTAAACCAATGGGAGGGTCGCTGAATGGCCTTGGTCTCACCTAATGTTCCAGTGTGCCAAGCCCTGAAGGAGAAAATCAAGTCGGCGATAGAAATGAGCAGTCGGCGAGTCGCCGAACATTTCCGCGATGCAGTGCTATATCGCCCAAAGTTATAGAACTTGAATTTGTTGAAAGCCAATGCAGAAAGGCGATGAACCAGACCAAAGGGCGGATCGCCGAGTGGATCGGCGATCCCGACTAACTGCGTCGAGTGGACCTTCGCAGCACACTTTTTGACACCTATAAATACCTCTTTGAATTTTTAGTTTAGTATGCAACCAGTTTATGAAATTTTAGAATTACTCAGTTTTAGAACTTAGTTTTTGGAGACATTTTTTCCTTAGCTTTGGAGATTTTGAAAATCCCCATTTTGAAGAAATTGGAAGTGGGTATTGAAGATTCTTCATCTTAGACGTGTGTAAGGACCATATCAATCGTACCCACTTGATGGAAACACTTTTCGATATCGATTTCTATCTCTTTACTATGTCTAGCTAGAACCCCAATTCTTGGAGTGTGATTATGTTAATATTGGTTAAATTTATTGTTGGGTATTGCTAATTGATTGTTTATTCGATGTATAAAGGTGATTTCATTCAGTGGTTGTGTTTGAATTTAATGGGGTTGTAAAAATACAATTTTAACTTCTTATTTTCGGCTTACTCGAGAGAGATCATAAAACCAAACTATTGAATTGATGGTCTGTGGTTATTGGGTTGTCGTGGGTTTAGCTCGAGAGAGTGAATCCTAAACGTTCTCCCACACATTTAGCGAGACAGAGTGAATGGACTAAGGCAAATGTTGTGCTTCATTGCCGCTTATTGGTGTTCGAGAGAAACCAATGTGATTCGGGGTAAATTGTTCGAGAAAATTTACCCCCACTATAGTCTAGCTTAATTACCAATTACAGCAATTTACTATCAATAGAAATTACCCGATTGTTTACCTTATCCCATAATACTATCACATCCCAAGAATCTCGTCTCCATATTTGTTATTTTTCATTTTTAGTTGTCGTTTTAGTTGATAATTGAATACAAAACCCCCTTTTAATACTTGACACTTGTGTCAACCCTTTAAATTTATCATGTTTTTCTTCGTAAATGTTTATAGCTATAATTGACTTGAACACATTTATGTTTTTCTATTGATTCTGAATTACGCACCGCTCCCTTGGGACTCGACCCCAACTCACTAGTTGGGTTATATTACTACTCACGATCGTTGGCACTTGAACTGGAAGTAGTATCTTGATGCGTGAAATCATATGGCAGTAACATGAAGGAAAAATTTGATAAATATTGGGGTGATACAAACTAAATGAATAAGATGTTTTTCATACCATGTGTTTTGGATCCTCGCCACAAATTTAATACTCTTAGTTTTGCACTTAAAAAATTGTTTGGGGACAAAGGGTATAGAGAGTGGTGTGCAAACATACATGAAATCTTTGTTTAATTAGTATGTAAAGCCTATTTCGAATGATAAAGGTGGTCAAGTCTTTGAGGAATCTGGTTCAGGGTATATACCTATAGGAGATTTTGCGGATTTCTTTGAGGAATTACATAGATATACATCTTGGAGTGGATGCACGAATTCTAAGAAAAACTTGGATAAATATCTTGAGTAAGATATTGAAATTGGAAAAGCAGACTTTGATGTGTTGCTCTGGTGGAAAGTCAACTTACCTAGATTCCCCTTCCTTTCTTAGATGGCTCGAGATGTATTAGCTATTTTTATTTCACGTGTGGAATCTAAATGTGCTTTTAGTACTAGAGGGCTCATTCTTGATTCATTTAGGAGTTCATTAACTTCTAAATTGGTACAAGCTCTAATGTGCCTTCAAGATTATCTTTGAAGTGAACCACATCTTGTAAGTATTGAGGAAGATTTAGATTTCCTTGAGCAACTTGAACAAGGTATGGAAAGGAACTTTCACTAATGTAAAATTGTGTACTTAATTTAATTTTTTTTGTTTCTTGAGAGTTGAGCCTTGATTTGTCATTATTTTTCTCTTTAGATTTGGCCAAACTTGGAAAAGAATCTTCAATTGAGGACATGTAGAGTTGAAGGCCAACTTTACTAAATCTACTAAAAGAAGAGGAAGGTAGATGTCGGTAACTTTATGTGTATCTAAGTGATAGAAAAATTAAAGCCTTCACTGATTCTAGTTAGGAATTGAATCTCTTTTCATTTACTGAAGGAGTCATCACTGATATATGCAATAAAATGTTTTCAATAACATCATTGATATATGCAATAAATGTTGCGTTGAATTATATGGTAGGAACTTGTGTAGGTTGTAGCATAACCTTAGTTATGAATCTATAGTATGAGTTTGAAATATGTTTCTTTCCTTGTAATATGAAAAAATTACATTATATGGTAGGATCTTAGAAATTAACTATTTTAAATCAGCAAGAAGAGGTATGAATCTTAGAAATTCTGTTTGAAGTTTTGAATTTAATTAAATACAAGGAGTTGCATCTTAGAAAATTTGTTTGAAGTTGGTATGTATTTAACTATTGTGAATCAGCTGGAAGAGGTAATCAGCCGTCAAGATGTGATCTGTAATTCAAACAACAGGCCGTAACATAATCAACCTTTTAATATGGTGTCCTTCTTCGTGTTGCATTTAGCAAAAGAGGGAGAGATCTTATGCAAGATGTTTACAGATATACTGTAAATTTATGAGTTTTTATTTTGTCGTATGTAGAGCCTTTTCTGGGAATTTGATTCAGAAACTTCACATTTAATTTAGTCTCTAGATATTGTTATTTTCAACGTTAAATGTTTTAAATATCTAATACTTTCTTTGTTTCTCTATCAATTAGATATAATCATGCCTAAAGCTCGATTGAGTCACTATGAAAAGTTTGAAGAAAACGAAGATGGATTTGTGGAAAGTTAAATGTATTCATTGTGGCCGTGTTGCTAATTATGATTCACGGGATAGGCTCCTTGATGGATCATGTTAAGCTTGTTTGGAGCAGATTCGTTTACTACTCTTATTTTGTTAACTTGAATATGACCTACCAGTAGTATGTTCCGGTTGTGCGACTGTTAATTTTCTGTTTCTACTAGACAGTTCTATGACATTATGACAGCTTAATATTCAAATGGTGATGTTGTTTTGTTTAGTTATTTTGATGATGGTGAGATCGAGATTTGTTTGGCAATTTTAACCATGTAGAGTTCTGTAAGAATTTAGGGGTCGTTTGGTGTGAGAGATAAAAATAATAGTGATGGGATAAGAAAATAGTGATGGAATAAAATTTTTGTATCTTGTTTGGTTGTCATATTTGGGATAACTTATCCCACCATTTATATCATAGTGATGGGATAAGTTATCTCATATGCATGGTGTGATAAGTTATCCCAGGATAGATAACCCCAGGATAACTAATCCTGGAATAACTTGTTCCCAACCAAACGACCCCTTAGAGTTTCTCAAATCAACTATTCATTTAGAGTACTCTTTTGTAGTATGTGTGTTAGGACCGAAAATAAGCTGATGTAACGTGGAAGCTAGCAAAGCAAATCTCAAAAGACCACGTGTAAGAAGACAAACGAGAAACACACCAAAAGAGACAGATTTAACGTGGTTCGATCAATTAACCTACGTCCACAAAGGAGATGAGCAATCCACTATAAATATGAGAGTACAAAATATAGAGAGAAGCAACCTCAACCAATTAACTCGGATTATAAGGAGGTACACAAAATTCTCCCCCATAACCGCAACTCTCAAAACCCTATTGCTAATTTAGTTAAAAGGAACAAGCCTATATTTATAAAGTCCTAAAACCTTTCCTACAAAAAAAGGACTAGTAAAATATTAAAACTTTTTCCTGAAAGAAAAACTTATTTATAGTATGAAATCAGGGCAAATAAAACCCAACAGTGTGCACTATGCAGTCAACCCTCAACAATATAATGTATGTCTGAATGACCGTAGGTAGTTGTTTGAAACTACAAACTGTATCCCCAGCTGCATATTATATTTATAGTTTAGTTACACCGTCTTTTACGCGATGCTCTAGTGCCCAAACGGGCACTCTAACTGCGATGTTGAGAAGCTTTTGTAGCTAAGAATCCTCATTGAAAACTAGACTAATTGGAATTGTGATTTTCATGTACAATTAAGGTCATATTCTTTCTTTAGACAATTTCATCTACTTCTCTCCTCTTCTCTATAGATCCTTACAACTTTTCGAACATTAGAATACAAATCAAACGACGATGTTTGGGACCTTATAATTAAAAATATACCTGATGAAAATTTATACAAAGAAAAGTTAGCAAAGGGATATATATGGTTTTGATAAGAGTACTTGTGTTACAACATGCTGCAAGTCTCATGTAGTGAGTGAATAGGTTGGAAGTGTTATTTTTCTACGAATAGTTCACACTTCACAGTTCAACCTTTTCATTTCCCTTGTACAATCAAAGCCAAACTTTTTTATTTTTGTATGACTCGTAATAAATAATAATATTGCTAATGTTTATGATGGAAAAAATATAGTAGTCCATAAGATATAATCATAAATATGAGAGAAAGTAACTAAATGTAAAAGATACAAAAAGTCGTTATAATTATAAGAATTTGCATGAGATTTTATAATTGGCAACATAATCATTGGCTTTTTTAATCCGGGATCTAAATATATATATATATTAGTAAGCACGGGCCCAACATTTTCTATTTTTTATGGTGAATCTTTCAATCATCGTTTGGAGACACAAGATGGGAATTCAATTAAAAGAAAAACGAAAAAGTAGCACAAGAAAAACATAGAGTCAATATCACGAAAGCTTGTTTGATGCAATTACAGCAGAACTATAAGCATTTATAGATATATTGACGTAGAAGTATCTCAACTAAGTACATACAAGTTTACCCTTAAGAATACCTTCATTGGAACAAAATTAACCTAACAATAACTAATAAAATTGTCCATCCGATAGTTAAGGGTCTTAGATACAACTTGTAAAGTTATCCTCCCTTGCAATTTACAGGCCAGTGATAAAGTTGAAATCAATCATTGTAGATCAAATTTCTTGGAGTTTTAGAGATCAAACTCTCAACGTATTGAAGCATAACTCCCTAGAAAATGAAAAAATTAAGAAGATTGAAAGGATGACTCCATTAACACACAAATAATCCTCAAGCACCATTGTTTTTCATCAAAGGGCAATGATCCCCTGTGGGAAGTCACCTAGAATAAAAATCGAGGGCGTAAGAAGATCAGATACCATCCAAACAAAAAAATTGAATACGAAAAAGTAAAAATGTCCATGTAAAACTACAATCTCGTTTAGAGGGGCAACCCAATTCAGGCTCAGAAGTTGAAACTACTGTATTAACAACCCAAAGGAGAAGTTAAGCAATTTAACAACACAACATAGTACTGACAATCAATTGTTTACTCAAATTTCAGCAGTAAGAAAGGTATTTATAGTAAATTTATGAAGTATTTTGATGGTATCCATCTTCTTTTTCAATTTGTAACTGTTTGCTAACTTGTAGATTGATGGAATCACACTTGGAAAAGGAATGAATTTCAAATATGAAGTTTTGAAGATCCACTCTGCCATACATGTAAATATTACCATCATAAGCAGCAACCAAATTAATCATAAAGTAGTAATACTAATAATTTATCTGTGCAGGTCAAATTTTTGATAACAAATGAGAGAGCACTTACATGTGAAGAGAAGTGCAACCACGCTTGAGAGGCAAAACTCTTTTAGCGCCAGATGTGTAGATACCTATAATTTCTAATGATCAAAGTATGAGCACCTAATCCAAAAAAATGTGTACAATCAAGTAAATTTTATGTATTTCGATAAACAACACACAAATTTAACAGCCAAGGAGATAATTTCCATGAAATTGTTTGGGGAAAGATCACATCTGTTATTTCTGGAAAAAGCTCCACGAATATGTTCACTCTTCAACTTTATCACCTCTGTCAACAACAACAACAACATACCCAGTGTAGTCCCACAACTTGATTGTCTATGTCAAATAGAGATATATATGTTTTCTCTCCACACTTAAGAATCCAAATGAACCAAAAGGAAAAATCAGCTAGTAAAAATTTGAATTATCTTTCATGAAATGTTTAAATAACAAATTTACTAAAGTATTCTTGCATATAGATCAAGTATTAACCATATTTCTAGTGAGTTGCTGAGACTCGCACACAAAGGGAGAATCATGTTCATCTATGTCATTACAAACATACAGAGCATCAAACTATGAACACAATGCTTTTGTGTCATGAATTTGTAGATGCACTTCTCCTTGTTCTTTTGGTAATCTTCACTGAAGAGTTGCTTTTCTTATGAAAGCTTTTCATTCATCGAAAATATCTATATTCTTAATAAATAAAGGTACCAATATCTCAAATAATAAGATAACACTTGTATTGTTGATGTGGCTTTCTATCATGTGTTTTGAGTTTAACCACAGGTTCTAAACTTCATAAGACAGGTTAATTCTCTTGCAAAAATAATTGAGATGGCGTAAGAGGCTAGGGTATAAAACTCAAAGGATTGCTAACGTGGTGAACTCCCAGGAAGACACTTAAGGAACATAATAACAAAAGAACTATGATCAAAATAAGAGTATAGTTTTCTCCAAAAATTCCAATAAACTTAAATTATCAAGAACAAACACAAAACAAAAAAAGATCCATAAACATAATAAAGAAGCCTAAAGTTATAGTTTATCAATAAAATAAAATAAAAAGCCTGAAGTAATGACTGAAGATTATCCTAAGATAGAGCAAGCTAATAAAATAATGCATAGTGATAACTCGACAACCATAAATAAGAGAGAACAAAGAATTCTGACTTGCATGTTTTAGTAAATATTTCATCAAATATAACAAAACAAAAGGCCACAAGGAGTCATTAGGATTATTTGCTAAGGAGACCTATGACTGGGAGGATTCTCTATTTGGTTAATCAGTTGTACTAATGCTTCGATTGCAAATGAATTATCTTACATGTAAAGTCTAAGACAAATTTAAAAGATGATATGTTAGAAGCTCAAGTAAAGTCTAGTTGCAAAATATAGATAAGTAGGAAGATAAATTTAATAGTAGAATAATCAATTACCTTTTATTTGTCTATAATGTGCACGATAACATGGACATTGGGTAGGTTAACAGCAAGCCAGTATCTCACGGATCAAATTGCAAGCGGTGTTAAATTTACCTGGACACAGATCCACAACTAAATCTTGATATCCTCACGGGTGGTCTCTATTGCAGGTAACAAAATCTTCTATCGACGGTTAAAAATGGACTTGAAAGTAACAGACTATCACTATGAGCTACTCTAGTAGTCAAACCTGATAAAACCTGAAACCTTAGGATAAACATCTCGAAATTCGACCATTACATATGCAATCGAGCTAACTGCAGAGGCAGAGGAGAACTTCCCTAAAAATCCTAGAATGCATCATCTGACCAGTAATGACAATAATATGATTTCTCTTGAGCTCCTTAGGAAGTTGGTCGTGGAATTCAACAAAAAAATAAAGTGAAAACTTAAACGACGACGATCCTTAAAGCTTCAAACTTCATAGCAAAGCCTGATAAGTCTATGAATGACTAATATTGTCTTAAATTGAAATAAACTCAGGGATAAACAACAAGCATGAACAAAGAGAGCTTACAAAATAGTTATATTTTTTGCTCTTCGCAACTGAGACTGTGAATTATCATCAAGATCTTTATGAGTTTTGTCGTGAAGCCAATTTCAATTTTACTTTGAGAATCAAGACTCCATTTTCCATATGCAGTGTATCTGTTTACAAAGCAATAGTTATGATCAATCTAAATAGCATAGTCTTTTAAAATGCTTAGAAGAACTAGTCATTTCCCCTTCAATTGAGATTTGAGGCTAACATCTGATATTTACCAGCTAAAGTTAACAATATGCCTTCTTTTATAAGAAATACTGAAGCAATGTATTTGAAACCTCTCCGAGGAAATAAAATCATATTCCCAGTGAAATCAAGTTACATCCAAGTGACTGACATTTGGGAAGATAAAATCATAGTCACATTCTTATATTAGTTGGTGGTAATTATGTCCCAAAGAAAGAGAACTAATTTTTACAAATCATATTAAATTCTTACATTATCTAGAGGGTAATTATGTCCGGAAGAAGATAGAACTGATTTGTACTTAATATCACCACAGACCATGTAAAGTACCTACCATATCTGATTGAGTCTTTCTATTTTGAATTTTCCAATTCCCTTCCGACTCACCTACTTCAAAGTTTGAGGTGCAAGTAGTTGATTGTGTAGCCGCGGAAGCATGTCCTCCAAAATGATGGAAGACAAAATAGTATAAATGATAGTAAATCAATTTATCTATGAAGGTATGTATACCTATACATACACAAGCAAAATTATATGGAAATTTAACTTTTCTGACCTTTATCTCTAGCTGATGAAGGAAGTTCAAACCACACTTTGATTTTTGTCATGACTCTGAACTTGTGACAAAGATAGTGTATTATTTGAATTCTACAAGAGTCACCGCCTTTTTGATTTAGCTCTTTTAGCTTGCTTTTGCAATAGAAATAGTTGATTTCTTTGTGGTGACATTTATGCATATCTAGTATGGCATAGCATAGCATATTTCTATGTGCAAGCCGTTGTTCCTTCATGTTTTCAAGTTCCTTGAGCACATAATCATTGTTTGTCGACTTGTAAAATCATGAAAAGAAGCAAATCCCAACAAAGTCGATGGAAATCCTGTAATACCAACTGTTTATTTGTGCATTTTTTCTGTTTCAAGAAATTAGTAGAGAACAATTAAAATAACAGATGCATTACTCTATTTTCAGAAATACTCATGCATGAAGCAATATCATCTCATTGAGTTAACAAATGTCAGAGTATTCACAAAGAGTAAGAATCTTATTGCAAAATCATTACCTGAGCTATACAAGGACATGGCATGTTCCTTCATCTAACACAACAATGTAGGACCTTTTTACATTCGATGATACCTTCTTAATTCTTTGGTGGTGTATTGATGACTTAATGTCTTCTCAAATTTTCACTTTCACGTATGAAGTAGAAGTCCTGGATCAATTGGAATTAAATACAGTAAAATTTCAGAACTTGATGGTCAAAATCTAAATCGATATTTCAACACTCTCTCATAATATATAAGAGCAGAAAAATTGTATTACTCTCTAGAATACAAAACCAAGAATATTTTGTAATTTGTAAATGCACCAAATGAGAAGATACAAAGAAGATGTTGAAAAGGGAAGAACCAGAAAGGAAAACAATATGATTCAGTTCTTTCAGACATATTATCATACACTACTGCTATATTTGTATGCAAATTTTGGGGTTTACAAATGAAATTTTTGACACTTTTTAAAAGGATATATATGAATGGGGAAAAAAGAAACACGAAGAAATTTACATTATACCCAGTTGAATTTTGAGTTCTTTGCAGGTATGTGATAGAAGAATTTTTTTGTTGTACCCTCTTATAATTGGACTTGTCACTGCAAAATTGAGATGGTTCTACACTCTTCTGCATGTGAGATTAAGAAGAAGTGGGTTCAACATAAGAATTATGTCCATGCAAATTACCTACAACAACATACCAACAAAGAAACAAAAATTGATAGCAATATCAGAATAATCAAACATAAAATCAATAACGTAGTACCCACCCACCCCCACCCCCACTCCCAAAAAACGAAAGCTTACGGAGTCCATTAGATCCCAACGCAACAAAGTTTAACCAAAACTCTTGGAAGAAGATGATGAGAAATCAAAGGAAAAAAATGATATAGAAGAAAATAGGACAGAAAGCTAGAGAAGCTCACCAGGAAGGAGAGAAATTGCAGGAGGATAAACAACTTTGAAGTGCCTTGGCAAAGCATTGTTTGTAGGGAAACAAAAGCATATACACGTGTTAAGCAAATAGGCCCAAAAAAGAAAAAGGAAGCAATAGCCAATGAAATAGGTACATATTTATAGTACCACTCAGATAGCTTTGTGTACAATACTTAATTGCAGTGTTAGTCCTAAGTCTTGTTGGCTTATAAATAAGGGTAATGACATATCCTCCACTGTTAGACATGCTTCAGTGTGTGAGAATCAAATCTACAAAACATCTCACTAGTCACTAATCACTATCACCACTACCAATAAGAGTGCTCAATTCAAATTCAGCTTAAAACTAACTCTACTGTATGACATATTACAAACTAAATATGAACAATCAACATCCAAAGTTTCACGAAACTAAAAAACGTTAATAAATTAAATTTTTTGAAACTCATTACCTATTACTCTGCAATATATATATATATATATACTTTTTTTCCTTAAGAACATAAGGATTTATTTATTAATAATCATAATAGGTTTATACATACAAAAGAGAAACTAATCTAAACGATGTAGTTCCCATGGCAACTCTTTCTAGTGCGGATGAAATGAATGAAGGAGATGCATCAAAAACATAGAGTAGTCCCCTACATATATTGGGATCCTTAGTTTTCCTTGCGTGTACTGCAAGTAGGTCCGCTACTGTATTAGCTTCCCTTGATATGTGCTCCATTGTTGTTCTCTGCATCTGCTATATGATTTCCCTGCAGTCCGCATATATATGTGAGTATACACGAGAATTATTATTTAGATTATTTAATAATACTTGCGAGTCCGTTTTCACCTGTGCTAAATTTAATCTTTTGGCCAGATTGAGGCCATGTAGTAGCGCTAGTATTTCTGCATGGTGTGCATTCTGGACTTTGATTTTGCATGTAAAACCTGTAATCCATTTTCCGAAATGATCTCTTATCACACCCCCCGTGCCTCCATTAGTAGTGTTTTGTTCAAAGGAGCTATCAATGTTAAGTTTTAATACTCCTTCTAGGGGTCTATGCCAAGCCAGTGGAACCATATGTCTCGGAATTATTTTCGGAGAGGTATATGCTAGGTGAAAATATCCATGTGCTTGAAAATTAATACTATAGATGGTACCGGGATACCTACTGATGTTTTAGTTTTTATAGAGATTAGTGTTTCTAATTTTTCAGATATTCTAAAGAATGACTGGTGTGAGGATAGATATAGACACCTTGTGGTGGTTGTTTAGGGTACTGTATTTTGTGGATGTACAGAACTGGTGCATATTCTCGTGAAAATCTGAGTTCCTAATTGATATGTTGAATTTTTTCCATATGAATTGTGCATCATGGCAAATTGAAAAAATATGTTTAGTGTCCTCTTCGACATTTGGAAAGGAGCGATAATTCTTAGAAGTGATAATATTCCTATAATACAATGCCGAGGAGGTCGGGAGCTTATTTGAGAGAATAGTCCACAAGAAGAATTTTAGTTTGTTTACTGGTTTAATCTTCTAGGCCCAATCATGGTTGAAGCTTGTGGTGTGATGTTAGTATTAGTAGGAATATTTCATAGGCGCTTCTCGTGCTAAAATTTCTGTCACTATTTTTGTTCCAGTAGAAAGTGTCAACGTTTGTGTTGGTTGATTGTTGAATGTAAGTATTTATAATACGATTTCTTATATTTTCAGGGATTTTCTAATGAAATTTGTGAGAAATCCCATGTATTATTTTTTAGTAAATGGTTTACTCGGAGATTTCGATCTGATTTATTTATAGGTCCTTGTACGGCTTGTCGAAGGGTGCAGGCTCCTTCGATCCATTTATCCTCCCAAATCGATATTTTATTCCTATTTCCTATATTCCAAGAAACTCCTTCCTGGAAAAGTTGAGACATTTTAGCAATGCTTTTCCAAATATAGGAGTCGTATGGATATTAGTGAATTTTGCATGTTAGGCATCTTTTCTTATATTTTGTTGAAAGTACTTTATTCCATAGTTGACCTTTTTTTTGTAAGAAATCTCCAATTTAAACTTACCAAAAGGGAGAAATTTTTTCCGTTAGTTTTTTGAAGTCCTAGCCCCCCTTTATCAGTAGGGGTAGTTACCAAATCTCAACTTGCAAGGTGAAGTCTTCTTTTTTCTAGCGATGAACCCCAAAAGAAGTTTCTTTGAATGTGATTTATATCATTAAGGGTTGATTGCGGAAGGAGGTTACATTACATTACGTACGTAGGAATGGTGGAAAGAACTGATTTAATTAAGGTAGTCCTACCTGCTAAGTTTAAGAACCTAGTTTTCCAACCGCTTAATTTATTATTCATATGGTCTATAATATATTAGCAGTCGGAACTTTTAGGATGGTGGTTTGTGATCGGGAACCTGATAAACATATCAACTACACCTTATCTGATACTAGGTGTAGACGATCGTTAAGCAGTATAAACCCAACAAGAGAGTTGGGGTCGATCCCACAGGGAGCAGTTTTGTTTCAAATTCAAGTATGAAGTTAAAACAATGATTTTCGTAGCAGAAGGAATAGAAATTATTGGAAACTAGTAATAAAATTAGAAGGGTAACATAAATGTCAGGGTAAAGGGTGTTAAATCAGAAAGCAATCTCAACAATTTATCAAGAGTAATCAAATAGGAGAAAAATGCTTGGGGAATTGGCCAATCAATCGCTAAACTCAACTCAATGGGTGTTAATTGATAACCAAAAGTTCTAACTCTTCTGGGGTAAGATGAACTTTAGATGAGGCACTTTTGTCTCGAACAACCACCTCGTTTCAATTGAGTTCTTAATATGCTAAACAAAAAGACCAGCCCACAACCTCACTACATCTACTCTCTCGAGTTGGATACATAGAATGAGTCTTAGGTTTCACTCTCTTGAGCTGAATCCATCATGACCCACTAGCTATGAGTGTCAACTTATCACCTTAGCTTTACACTTCTTTCTCAAGCAAGCATAAAACACGAAATTATATTGAAACAAACATACAGTAGAGTAGTTAAACCACATCGATAAGTTAGGCCCACTTTGAATTTACACTAAAATTGATAGTAACTAGCACCCATCAAGTCAAATTCAGCAACTAATCACATTGTCAAACCCCCAAGATTGGAATTTTAGCTAATCATCATAAAAGAAAGAAATTCAGTACCTAATACATGTTCCATAGCTGGGTATTGAAATTCGAAGTTCTAAAATGAATAATATCTTTTCTATCACAACACCCAATTGAAATCTCTTGCCAAAATTGCTTAAAATCAACAAGAATAGTGTTGGTGTTCTCTCTATTTCGTTTCACAATGACTGGATACCTTATCTCTCTTCCAAATGTTAATATATATTGATCTGAGATGTGGATTTTTGGGGTTGATCGGCGAGGAAAGTCGGGCTTCGCCGACCAGTCGGCGACTCAACGATCTTCCTTGTCCATCACCCCTTTTCCTTCACATTCCTCCATCAGGCACTATAACTTTAGGCGATCTAGATCGGGATTGCCGATCACTTCCACGATGTGCCCTTTACTCCTTTAGCTCGCCGATTCACTTTCATCTTGGTCTCGATCAGTGTGTTCGGCGATACGATCTTCCTTCACCGATGAATTTGGAGATTCACCGATATGGAACATAGTTCGCCCAAGTTTTTCTCATTTCAGGTATAGTGTACTGTAAAATTAGGCGGTCGAGGGGGAATTTGGCTATTCGTCGAGTGTTCTTGGCGATCGTCAGGCTTGCTTTTCTCCTCTTCTTCAGCTTATGTTGTTCCTTTTTGCCTGTTAGTGTCCTTGCTTTGCTCCTCTATCCACATACCTGAAAATCAAGGCTTTAACATCAGTTTATGGCACAAATTAAGCATTTGAGGACACTAAATCTATATTAACAAAGACCCAAATGAGTCCAAATCTCAGACTCATCAACGCCTCCAACTTAAACTTTTGATTGTCCTCAAGTAAAACTCAAGTTCAGTAGTTCAAAAAGGATGCCTCAAATAGTGTTGCATAAGACTCAACATGAATGCACACAACAAAATTCAACTTACTCATGCAATGATTAATTGTGCACTCGAAGATTCAAATTGTGACTTCCCATTATCAAAGATGCTCAAGTTCACAATACTTGCTTCAAATGCAAGTTCAAGTTCAACAAAGGTACTCAAATGCCCTCACAACAAAAATGATTCCCTATTCACACAAAGTTCTTCAACAATTTATAGTTCCGGAATCACATACGACTCTCACACTCACAAAGATGAACACATGCATGACTTCACCCATAGGTTTGCCCTTATTTTTCAATCAATATTCGTTTCAGCTCACTCAATATCACAATG